CCGGAAGACAACCGGCAACCAGTGCAGGCCGCCTAAAAGGGGTGTAACATGAGAGTACCTAGGTGCCCCCATGATAACCTGCACAGCCACATTCTGGACCAGTTGAAGCCTCCTGGTGCTCTTCAAGGGCAGCCCCATGTAGACAGCATTACAGTAGTCCCACAGAGAAGACTCTCCCCCTGGGGGTCGCTAGCCGACACTGTCTGGCCGACGGCACCCTGAGGAAGTTGAACAATCTTACTTATAACTTCTTCCATAAGCATGACCTTAGCCATGTTAATATATCCTTTTTTTTAATGCTTGGATTTATATTCAATTAATAATACCCAAAAGGAATAAGAATGTAAGTTACCTTTGTTCGAAGTAATAGGTTTTCCTCTTCCAATTCCCTGAGTTTATCTTGTAAGATATCCAACTGTAAGAAACCTTGGGATAAGTTGAAGGACTCATTGAAGCGAAGTGGCGTGGAACAGCTAGAATCCGTCTCACTTTCTTCAGAAGCGGTGGATACCACACGAAGCAGTTCATCTTTTTTTGTCAGTTCATGCTGTAGCTGGTGAATCTGATTTTAAAGCGTTTTTGTTTATTATATATAACCATTTACCAAAACAATGCAATTTATGCTAGCGAGTAAACAAAGTTAAAACATAATTGTACTGCTCTTTCCATTACCACTTCCTCAGAATATGCTTATCTCCATTCAGTTTAAAAAAATAGTATTAAATATGGATTTCCTCCCAATTACATTTTTTATAAGAAGGCTTAGAAATATTAATGGAAGACATCTTTGCTCGTTCCATGTTCCAATTATCGTATTTTCTTTCCTAGACCGTCATTATCCAAAATCCAATAATGTGAAAGTACATCATTTTCCTTGGCAGAAGTCCCCTTTTTTAAAGCAATAGTCTAAGGCTAAAGAAATATTTATCAGTTGATCATTCAGTGTTTTTTTTTTTAATTCTAGGAAAATAAAGAGCTATTTCCATATTCATCAAACAGCAGAATTCTTTATTCGTAATGTAATATATCTATATATGGTGCAGTTGCTTCCTGGGTGTAGTGTGCACTACAGCCATAGGTAAATTTTATTTATTTCAATTATATCTCAATGTTTTTCCCTGGGACCTAAATTAAATGAGCACCAATCTAAATATTATATCAGTGTTTCTCAACCTTGGCAACTTGAAGATGTCCGGACTTCAACTCCCAGAATTCCCCAGCCAGCATTCGCTGGCTGGGGAATTCTG